GATATAGCTCGCTAGCAGCCTCGCACCGAGGACCTATCCACGTCATCATTTACCCAGAATGCTTTGTGTGTGAATAAAATGGCTCCGTCCATGTTAAAATGTTTATTTTAAAATTTACGAAACTGAAACAGCCTACAGTATTTTTACAGTCTTTATTTTACAGTTAAAATGTTTATCAAATAAAGTTTAATGATAATAATAATTATAACTAATCGTGGATCCCTTTAAAATTAGATAAACAAGTTTTGATGTTAAATCAGGTTTTTATCACTTGTGGATTTTATAAAAAGTTAAATCTTACTTCTGTTTTAAGGACTTTGAAGGACTTGTTCATGCCTTCGTTACATCTCGTTTGATTACTGTAATTCATTATATAAAGGCATGGATAAATCACAGATGCAGCGACTTAGATGATCCAGAACGCAGCAGCATGGCTCCTTACAGGAACCAGGAAGCATGACCATATAAGGCCTATACTGGCATCTTTACATTGGCTGCCTGTTCCTTTTCGAACAGATTTAAAGATTCTTTTTTTTAACTTATAAAATTTTAAATGGGCTAGCCCCGCCCCCCTTATCTTTGGGATCTTTTAGGATTTCGGTCCGTGCCCAGAACCCTGCCATCAAATAACCAGTTACTACTGACAGTTCCTCGGACTCGACTAAGAGGAAAGGAGACCGGGCTTTATCTGCTGCCGCTCCTGTTTTATGGAACAACTTACCTGTCCAGATTAGATCTGCCCACAGCCTGGATCATTTTAAATCACTTCTTAAAACTCTTTTTTATTCTCTGGCTTTTAATTGAAGTATTGTTTGATACTCTGTTTTTATTATTGTTGCTCTCTCTGTGCAGCACTTTGCTGCAGTTTTATACTTGCTTTTAATGTGCTAAATAAATAAATTTGACATGACATCACAACAAAAGCTAAAACTAAAACTGACATAATGAAAAAAACAGATCCAGCATACCTAAAGCACATTTAAAGAGAATAATATTTTTGAAGGAATTGAAGAGATTGTAATGTGTTTCTAGAGGAAAAATGTTTCCAAGGAAAGTTAAAGTATTTTGAGAAGTATAAACATTACGAAAAATAAAATAAAGTCACAGCAGACATCAAATGAATGAGCTGACTGTTTAGATTTATGAAACAAACATAAAAAGACAAGAAAACAATGTAAATAAACAGTGTAAATACTGTATTTTTAAGCTCAACTCAAGCACATAATGTGAGTAATCTGAAAACTGATGTCTCACCAGGGAATACAACACTTGACTTTGTTCTTCTGCTCAGCCAGATGCTGCAGCTTCAGAATGCGCTCAGCCTGGATCTGAAAAAGGGTTTTGTGGGACGGCAGTCCCACGTCGTACATGCCTTTGGGGTACGGTACTCCCAGCCTTGTTCCCTGGCCCCCCGCTAGAAGCAAGGCTGCAACTTTATTCTGAGAAATGTTGTCAAGACCTGGAAAGATGGCAGCACAAAAACTGTGAGTCTTACAACAAAACTGAGTGTCCCAGTGCAGAGATTCTTAACCTGTGGGCCGTAAGCGCCACCTTGAGGGCCTCAAAAGAACAACAGTTTTTAACTTTGGGCCGCAG